GTGTGTGTGTGTGTGTGTCGGAGGAGAATAGCAGAGATGTTTGTTTATACAAGGCCCTGGGCTCGGCCTTATCTGCTGCAGCCACTCACGCCGTGATTTCAGACTTTCTTCAGCGACCACTTGTGTGTTTTTTTACGGGCCATTGTTTTGTCGAATGGTTTCTAAAGATACACAGATTTTTTTTCTTCCTCCCACCTCATTAGAAAACCGACTGCTCTGATTTCAAAAGCCTGCACTTCATCCCCACCCAAACTATGGCTCAGTTATTTAGTCAGACAATCAGAATGACCGCAGCTTTGAAATATGTGAAGGTCATTCAGTGATAGAATAAAGATACACTGCTTGTAGTCTCGGCTCATTATTATAAATAACATTTTTATTGGATTATTCAAATGTTATCCTTAAAGATGTAGAACATTTAAAATGTATGCTTCATACACTTAAAAACCGTCCCCTTTAAATAGCATACATAATAGTTAAATAATATTTAAAAAATGTTTCAAAAAGTTATATAATGTTTTATAGCATCTACCATGTGTTATACTGTTTTGTGGCATTTCATATATATGCTTGCAACTAACGAGGATTTTCTTTTTTTTATTTGATCTGATATTAATCAATTGATTGTTTGGTCTCTAAAAAGTCAGAAAATAGTGAGACATGTCTTCAAATGTCTTATTTTGTCCGACTAGCAGTCCAATTTCTGCCTAAAGAAATAACTTAAACTTTAAACACACCTAAACACAAACTGACTTGATAGCATAAAAAGATAATGACAAGGTTTTGTTTGTGGGACTCATAAATGTGATTCAGTGACATTATTGTGCTGTTAATAGTTGTTCCTATAAGAGATACTGTGGTAATCAATATGTTATGCTTTAGATGGTGTGTTTTATCTCTTGTTTTTATTATAGGCTAATATATGGAACCTTTAAAGTGATTCGATATATTTTTCATTAATCTCTTTTTCTATTATTAATAAATAATCCTACAGTTCATGAGTGCATAGTGTCTTAAAACAAACTATATATATTTAAGGTATCTTTGTTACATCAAATGATAATCAGTTTACTCAAGTAGGCTACTATAGACCTACTAAGTACACTTTTGATGTATTTTCACATTAAGCTACTACTCCACTACATTTCTATATATAAATATATATTGTAATGAAATATTGTACTTTTAACATTTATCTGACAGCTTTAGTTTTTGTTTTATTTTACGTTATATTCTACCAACTAGAACACAACAATCTTAGTAATATTATAGTCAGATAACACAGTATATATGCATTACAATGACAGGGACCATTCTGCTGCCTAATCAGTTCTCTTACTTTTAATAATTTTATATTATTTTAAATAAGAAAAAAGTAGGCTAGAAAACGTTTTTACAGAGTGATGTTCCTACTTTTACTTAGATAAAATATCTAAATACTTCTTCCACCACTGTTGGGCAATGCAGTAAAGCTCTTTGTGATATTTGACGTTGTCTTTTATGAATGAATGTTTAGTTGGTTGTTGCTGGGGGGGCGGCGTCTGACGTCACGCTCTCACAAACCTGGTCACGACGCAGAGCGGGCACGCGCCCCTCCCACCTCCGCTGCATTTATAACGGGACCGTTGCGGCCGGAGACTGACCACTCGTTGTTGTACGGTAGATACGGTAAATAAGTAAGTGTGTGTGAGTCTGGGAAAGAACGACAAATAAAGAGAGCAGGAAAGGAAAGAGATGTACTGGGACACTATCATCAAACCTGGAGACAGCAAAGACTCGAAGATAAAGGTAAGGTTTTCACTTCAATTTTTAATTTTGGATTTTTTTACAGAATACAGGAAATTATGTGATTCATTCATAACATCCAGCCTGTAGCATATGGTATCTCTAATAATGTGTCCCACTGGATGAGGGTAAATGTGTTCGTATGACACAAAAACAGAAGGATTTGGGTTGGAAATATGAGATATTTTCACTATTTTCTACACTTTTACAAACTAAATGATGAATTTAATCAGAAAAATAATCATCTATTATGGAAATAAGTTGCATCCCTGCTCTTATAATATATGTGGCTGTAAAATATATATATTTTTTGTTGGAAAATAATGTAAAGTTCAGTGTCATTGTTGCCTCTGATCAACAATCTGAGTTGCAATGATGATGAAAGTTGTAATCACAAGTCTTTCACCACAGATGGAGGTTTGCCAGACTGGATATTACACAGAAGACTTCAGGACACAGGAAGTGCCGGCTGGCTTCGACTTTGCATCTTATGGTGAGTTCAGAGAATCACTTGACTGATGCCCTGCACCATCACAAGTTACACATAATGACTTTTGATGGTACGAGGTTTAAACTCCCAGTGATGAGCAGCCCAGACAGACACGAGCACAAAGTTTGGAATGTTTGCGTGATCTGTTTCCTCTGAACCTGAGCAGCTGAAGGACAGAGGAAATATTTGCGCGGACTGTATCATCACATCTGTCAGAGCTTTCTCTGTGAGACCTTGACAACCGGGGGCTTTCGCTCAAACCCAGGGGCTTCGTCAGGAGAATGGGGGGCTGCTGTGCATGTGTGTGTGTGAATTATGCTTGAATGGGCTGAGGTAGGCAAAGACGGAGAGAAACAGGGTGGTCAGGTTAAAGACACTCCCCTCTCTGTCTTCCCTAATCCTTTCCTCCAGACTTCCTCCTCCAGCAGATTTAGAGTCTCCCCCTCCCCATCCCTCCATCACTACTCTGTCACACTCCCTCCGCTGGCGTTTCCTCCTCTCTTTTCCTCCCCCTCCCTCCCTTGTTTCCTCCTAGCTGCCTCCATCCATTCAGCTGAAAAAAAAAAATCTGGAGTGCCTGGTGCTGATTCCACAGTAAAGAAAAGGCTTTTTCTTGTGTCAACATCCACCGTCAAAGATAAAAACCCAAAACTTACAAATTCACTCCATGTTTCTTCACTCTTCTGCTGAGCTGAGCTGCAATTAACCTCCTGCTTAAAAGGACCATACCAATGATTTAGCATTTTTTAAGCACACTTAGCTACTTATGTTTAGATTAATTTCTTATCTTTGAGGCAGCCTCTGGTTGTCAGTATATTTTAGCATGGTAAGAAAAGCAACGTACAGAGGCTTAAAACATGCTTGACACGCTGTAGATAGTTGATTTTGTCGTAAAGTTATGTTAATATTGTAATTTATTAGTGATTAGGAGCTGGTTGGAAAGGTAATCCTTGGTGGTGCATTCAGTGATGTTCCAACATGTACAATTTAACACTCTAAATACCAAAAAGCAATGCACTTTAGTTCGGTTGTAAGTAAAATCTAATTAAAAAGCCAAATGGTAAGCAAATAAGGACATCCTTAAAAATATCACGTACATTTATTTCATTAAGCAGGTTGCCTTCTGATGTCTGTGATGTCTGACTTTCCCCATAGCACCTAAAGGCATAAAAAATGAAGCTCTTTCAAAATAGGCCCTCCTCACAGCTGTACTACATGAGGATAACACGTCTTTGACCAAAAAAATAAGTAGAAAACAAATGGATAAGTGGTCAATGTCGTGTGTTATTTATTTAATTACTCATTTAAATTTCTAGTGAATTTTCACACAGTGCTGAAATAAATGGAAACCAAAAGCTGCCCAGTAGGAATGAAATCTTAAAAAAAAAGTTTGCTTTGGAAAATGTTAAGCATTAATGTCAGATAAAACCATTAGTGTGGTCCTTCTTATAAGCATGAACTAAGCCTCTATCCTGCCTCCATCATCATTTACTGACTCCATCTGTCTGCATTGTGTTTAACCTCCAGACTACCCTGGTGAAGACCTGTCTTTTCTGTTAGACAGTAAAGCACCCGGACAGCAGCAGTACGGCACAGAAGGCAGCTATCCAGAGCCACCAAAAGCTTCTCACCCTTACGACACTAAAGGTGAAACCTCAAAAAAACCACACCCTTATGCTTGTTAATATAGGTCAAACTGTATGTTGGTGTTTTTGACTTATCTCACATTTGTGGCTCTTTTTTTTACCCCTCAGTGAGCAACAGCGACACGGCCCTCTTCAACCTCGACTCATACCAGGAGTTCAACTGGTGGACCTCGTACCCACATGGTGAGCCTCTGACTCTATAGTCTTACTCATTACTATATGTAAAGAATTTTCTTTTACGTGACTAACTTTCTTTTTTATTAGCAGATGGGCTGACAGTAGACCAGCCACAAACTGGATACCAGGAGTCTCCACAGACATACCAGAGCCTGGTGCCCCAACACGGACAGTTTAGCCCAGCCATGGAGGGCAGCCACAGCCCCTTTCTAACTGGGAAAGGAGCAAATACATTACAAAGTAAGACAATCTACCTATGGATATTAAAAACATCCTCCCAGTGGGCTTGTTTTACCGTTCAGTGTGTAATTCTTGTCTTTGTTGCAGGCGAGACAGATCAGAGCTACTCGTGTCACTCGGCTGAACTGTACGACTCTGATGGACAGAGGCAATCGTCCTCTTTCTGGCCTGAATATTCCTCTCCTAGCTTCACTGCCCCCCTACCACACCCGCCTGCGGCCTCCTGCCCCTCGAACCACGGCCCTCAGTCCTCAGAGCAATACTGCCCCCGTGTGGTCAAACGCAAAAATACACACACCCAGAGGCCAGACAGAGAGGGGCAGATCATGGGAATGTCAGCTTATCCAGGTTAGAATTTGCTTACTTACAAAAACATATTGAAGTCTTAATTATATTATTTTTATGAACGCATGGTGTTCAAGCTAAAGATAAGGATGTTTCTCTCTCACAGTCCCTTGAACTTAAACATTATTGAACATCTATGGGTAGATCTTAAAAGAGCTGTGCATGCAAGATGACCCAAACATTGCAGAACTAGAAGACTTTTTTTTGCCTACAAGTGATGCTTTTACTTCTTTATTTTTGTTCAATTTATGACATAAAACGTAACTATGCATGCAATATGTTTGCTAAACATATTGTGTTTTATGTTCTATATCCTAGAGAGGTTGTGTTCATATCGTTTCAATGCAAAAAAATCTCTTTGCATTAACATAATAACAGTCCTACGTGTTGATATCACATTGCTAAAATGTTGCAGTGTAATGTCGCGGGCATTAAAGTAAAGCAAGTTTTTGGACAGAATGAAAACCTGTAAACTCTCTGAAAAAGTTCCTCATGCTGATCCAAAAGTTCCACTGCAGACATCTGAAATTATTCTTTATTATTACCAGAGCTGCACTTCTACAATGTAGTATTTCCATTTGATGCCACTTTATACTTTGACTTGAGTACAGTTCAGAGAGAAATGTTGTACTTTTTACTCCACTACAGAGAATACATCAGATCTGAGTCCTCTTTCAACCACATATTATTACATGTTAATAAAAGGATGCCAGTTCCAGTTGCCTTCTGTAACCAAATGAATCAATTTGTTTATTCATTCATTCATTCAGGTTCTGGTCCAATCCAGCTGTGGCAGTTTTTACTGGAGTTACTTCTGGACTCTGCCTGCCGAACCTTCATCTGCTGGACGGGAGACGGCTGGGAGTTTAAGATGTCTGACCCCACAGAGGTGAGGAAATATCTTGTTTTGGATTAGGGTGCATGCTGAATACTACAAGGCAGTAGTGAAAAGTAACTAAGTACATTTGCTCAGTTCCTATATATAAGTACAGCTTTAAAAGACATTGCTTAAGTTTTATGTAATGTTATGTTATGTTATGTTATTTAATCTTTCACTGATGGTCTTGTTTATGTTGGTCATTTAGAGGCTTCAGTATTAAACTGAGACTGTTTCATAACTAGTTAGAAACTCCTGGTAGTACTTTAAACTAGGCTTTCGTATGGTAATTGTAGATTGCTGTTTTGGTACTTTTACTAAAGTAAAGTGTATTTCTTCCTCTATTGCTACATGGAGGGTTTATTCTGAAGCAAAGTTAAACTTTTTGTGTTTTGTTGATATCACAGGTAGCAAAGCGCTGGGGACAGTGCAAGAACAAACCCAAGATGAACTACGAGAAGTTGAGCCGTGGCCTGCGTTACTACTACCACAAAAACATCATCCACAAGACGGCGGGCAAACGCTACGTCTACCGCTTTGTCTGCGACGTGCAGGGCATGCTGGGAAAGACAGCACAGGAGGTTCTGACCAGTCTGAACGTTTTGCCAACAAACACAGAGTCGTGGCAGTGCCCCGGGGTACCAGCGGCAGCGACATCGGAGCACAGTAGTGAAACATGGGCGTCACAGTAGGGACAGGGGGCGAGGACTCTTGGTGCTGCTGGCTGAGAATGACCAGCACATTTTAACGGAGTACTACAGCCAACGTGGTGAACACTGCATCCTCAAGCCCTGGCTGAACTAAAGTATCCTCATGGGGTGATGTTTTAATTTACAAATGCTGCATTTCAGGGGAAAAACTAACTCTCATAAATTCATCATGCAGTCAGTCTTAATATGTAGCTTTTTCTTGAATAGAAGTCTTCCAATACCAGACCTGTAAATACATAGCTCCTAAACCTCAGAGCTGAATAACTGCAGCACAGGAACTAGCGAGGGGCATTTTAAGCACTATAAATAGATAACCTTTGCAACATCTGGGGGCATATTTTCATGTGATGTGTTTCTAAGAAGGAATTGATTTGTAAATAGTGTTTATACAATTGCTATGTAGAGTTTTGTGCATTTATATTATTTTTTTTAAATACAAAACTCATGTCTACCTCTGTTGTTAATCAGAATGATATAAACTGAGATCATTTTCAGGCACTCACTGTGAAAGTTTCAGCCTGTGTGATAATTGTTTTGTGTAAATAAATTTTATATAAACATAGATTTGTGTGAAGAGTCTCACTTCTTATGAGTTGTTCATACTCAATTTGGATTCTGCCTTTAATAATGAAAATATTAAAATGTTGTTTTATATTGTTTTTATTAAGTGTTATTATAGTTTTTATTAGCTAATATTTTGTTTAGATGTCATATAATGTTCTATGTTAGACAATTATATTTAGCATTTGATTAAGAAAAATAATTAGGCGACACATAAGTGTTACACTAGGAACAGAAGGTGTACAGTAAAGAAAAAATAAATAAAACCAAAAATAATCTTGATTAATAACAAATGTATTATTAACTAAATGATTTTAGTAGATGAGTGTGGCCGAGCCAGTGGTCTACTAATGTCTATGTAATCAAATCAAACTGAGAAGATAAGCAATAAAATCAATCAGCCTGATGAATTAACACTTATGATATCATTAATTTGGTTATGTTAATGCGTCCTCAAGTGTACTGTTTATCCTTTAATATAATGTATAATGGTAAATGGTAAATGGACCTGTATGTATAGCGCCTTTCTAGTGCTTCCGACACTCAAAGTTTTACACTTCGTGCACATTCACAACACACAAAGTCACTCGAAACAAAATATCATGTATATATCACAACGAAACGAATGCATCAGGGAGAACAATTTGGGGTTCAATATCTTGCTCAAGGACACGTGGCAGGAGGCAGGAGGAGCCGGGGATCGAGCCAACAACCGTCCGATTGGGGGCGCTCTGCCTCTGAGCCATAGACTTCCGTATCTCATGCTGCCTTCACGTAAATGTCGACATCAGAGGATGTAAATTTCATACATAGCGACTTTTGCGAAAAAATATACATATATATATATATGTATATATATATATATATATATATATATATATACATCTGTGTG